CCCAACAGCATGAGGGTTTTTCAGTAATTCACTGGAATATTCGGTAATGCTTGTTACTTGTACCTAAGGGTAAGCTTGTCATTACAACTTAGGCAAACCTAACACATCTATAAAGGCTTATACCAAACGGCATTATCTGTCATAAAGGCTGCTTTTGACAAATTGTATGTCAAGTTGACATAATACCCATGTCAGGTGACGTTTTCTGACACTGGGTTGTGTCATGATCTTTTTTGAGTGAAACAAAAAGACATGTTAAAACAACGGACATTGTAGTATATATCGCATTGAAATAAAGCTGATGCTTATTTCTCGTAAATGATGAAATTAAATTCTTTATCGAAGGGCTGCAAAAATCCTCCCTTTTGTTCAACCAGTCTATGTCATATAGATGTAATGTCAACATCAAAGTTGGCAAATACAACCTTGACAAATGATGCCAGCTGGAATAAGTGTTTATAAATGCTTATGTAAGTCTATATCAGTTGTTATGAAGGGCTTAAGTAACCTTATGAACTGTGCTCTTCCCCTGCATTTTACCAAACATTCTGGTATCTGATTATGCTCATCAACAAATTGACTCTTTCCAATCTTATGTAAGTATCTAGACAAGATTTGAGATGTTTTGCCTAAAGAGGTGGAAAGTTTAAAGAAATGTTTTAAAGTGGAAGTGACAAGAAAAATGTGTCCTCTTACCTCTTTTTTCTGATGGAACCTAATAATAATCTGAACAATTAAAAAAATAAATAATGCATTTTTTGTATCACACACAAAACATATTCACATCTTCAAAAATGGACAGAGATTATATTCATATAAGCAGTGCATCATACATGGACTGATCATTTGCCATTTGCATGAATCAGGCTACTGCAGGATCTCATCCACTCCCTCATATCTATAATTCCTTTGTGAGAACGTTGCTAATTCCTGATGTGTTTAACGTGCTAGCTAACAATGTACACAATGAGTCACTAGTGCATACGTGCTCTGGTGGTTTGCCAAGCTTTTATGGCATAGCCAGGAAATTCACATACCCAATTTCACATTTTGAGAGATCATTGTTGCCTGATCATTAGACTGTTCAGTTTCAAATGCTCCAAAATCCCTGCTTGTAGTGACCGTATGCTGTAGGGCTTAGCCAAGAATGGTCTCATGTGGCTGTAGGCGTCAGAGGTTGGGCCCATGTTTGAGTCTTGCTGATGGCAGCTTATCATTTTTCACCCACTTGTTCCATCTGCCCATGGTTTTCTGAGTGATGTTTGTTAACCATAACAAACCTCAGTGTTCTACAACTGTCAAAATTCTCTTGTTAGGACTGTGCCATGTCGCACCTTGCATTTCTGCAAACAGTGAAATGTAAGCTGCCTCAACTGGCCCACACTTTTTCACAGTATCACGTTTGCTGGTCTGGAGCCACAGTTGACATAGTGAGTTGAGAGATAGAGAGAAAGGGAGGGAGATGGAGTTGGCAAGTGACTGCCCAGCATCTGCGACATCGATCGTGCTGGCACTCAGTCCAGAGCGAAGAAGGACGAGCCATCATCAAATGCTGCATCTGTGACAGGCAGGCCGAGTCCTCAGCCAGCTCCAAAGGGGGGAGTTAGAAGGAGCTATGATGGACAGTTGGCCTAGTTGAGTAGGCCTAGTTGCATCTTAGAACATTGTGAAAGAAGGAATGTGCAACCTGGGCAAGAACGCTGCTTGCAGAATGTATAAGTTACGCGTAGTATGACAGGGCCTTATGAATAATTTACTTTATTTATCACCGTACTCATACTTCTCCAACTTTACAGTATTTGTCTTTTGACCCAGTTTTTTTTTAAATCCTCTGAACCCCAACATAAAATACAGAACTGATAAGCTTTTATATTTTTTCACCTGTACTGCCGGGAGATCACGACTCTGATGATTCACAGTTTTTCGTACAGGTTCTGTTTTATATCATGCTTTATTCAAAACATTGATTTTTGGGACTAGACAAGTGTAAATCACCAGGATCCATCCAGCCTTCCATTCAGAGTTAAGTCCCATCCCTCATTCACCAGTAACATGTAAACATCGTCAGGGAGAACAAGCTAGCGTAACGAGTCAGCCATTAATGAGCCATGTTTCTCTAATGCCTCCATGTTTCAACTCGTTCCTCATTAAAGTTTCAGATCTCTGAAGTATAGCACGGATAAAAGGGAGACTCCCTGCCCCTTCCTTACACGCCAACTCAAAGCCAGAACACGTGTATTCAAAGCAGATGTTTAGTTCATGTTTTATGGATCAGATTAAGTGGGGCACCAGGGTAAAAACTCAGCAGGATTTTCTCGCATAAAGCAAACAGAAACGATTGGGGAGCGATTGTGTTTCTAATGAGTCTCTAGCCATGGCACTGACAGTGGTGCTGACGTGCTATCACTATCGGTAGAGCCAAAATCAACCTAAAGTCAGTAAGAGGTTAATGCAGACATCTCTGCAGAAGCTTAAGGAGAGAGACCAGGATTGACATATTCTTCTTTTGACAGTGTTGGAGAGTTTTCACAGAAAGACTGTCCATTTGACTCCATTTGAGAGGTACTGTTCTTGTTTTGCCTCGAGAATTGTGTCAGTAGTCAGTGAAGAAATGCTTTTTTGACTTAGGTGGAGATGTTGATTTTATATAATACTGACTGAAGATGTCTCAGTCTTCTTAGCCTGAGGTACTTTATTCCACATAGTATAACATTTTGGTGGAAAAGAATTCTACAGATAAAGTTGCTAATCACTGCTTGTGCTCCTCGGGACATACTGTGCTTTCTCTCTCTCACAATGATGGTATCTTTTCACCTTCTAGAAGTGGGAACTGTTCAGCTGCTCTGTAGATTTTCTTTTTTTAAATCATATCTACAGTAAAGCATTAAAAACATGTTTAGTCATCAGATGATAGGACAAGCCCTGCCTTTACTTCCCACCAAGCTTCTAACCATTGTGTGGTATAAATCTCCTGCTAAACTGTGGATGTCTCCACTGAGGAAAACGTCCTTGTCTCCATCCCACAGTGAGCAATTACAGTAGTTTGCACTTCTGCCTCAGTGCTCAGAAATGTCCCTTGCTTGGAGGTCTTTTCAGTCTGGATGGAAGCACTTATCAAGAGGGAATGAGATGGTGAAGAGACTTACTCAGACGAGGGGTCTCTGGGAAAAGAAAAAAAAATGAGACAGAAAACCTCATATCCCCCGAGGCACTGCTGAACAAGACTTTCCAAATTGCTCCTTTGCATTGGAATCCTTGGAGTCTGCTCTGTGTTTACGTTTGAACTCAGGGCAAGAGGAGTGCAGGGTAAAGCCACCTACCTCAAACTGACCAAAGCCTAGCCACACCACTGTTATTATGGGGTTGGATTGCTGTCAAACTAGCAACCATCAAGTCTTCTGAGGCTTTGGTTATAAAGTTGAAAGGCTCATGCAATGACGTCTTTCAAAGGGCCCAAAGTTAACACTAAAGCAAGTTATGGATTCTGAGGGGCTCTCTTGATGAGACTATCTTTGAAGGATTAATAGTGCTTGGTCAGTCAACCAAGATCTGTTTCCATGATATTGCATTCTAAGCACTTTCCTCATGTGTCCTGCCTTTTCAGCTTTATTTGCTCTTGTACTCTGCAGCTAACCTAATAAGGCCACTGTCCCAAATTCTGTTATGATTACTCTCACGTTGGGTGTTGAATGAATCCAAAGATGGGGAGCCAAGTCCAAAGGACCGGCCCTCAGGGTCTCCCAGATCCTCCTTTACACAAGGCTCTGCAGCCTCCACATGCTGTCACCTTTCAATGGGATATGCCTTCCTTGTAGTAACCATACCTTTCATGCCTACATGTCATCTTCCCCTGCTATGCTTTTAATTTCACCAGTTTACACATCCTCCTTCCATCCCATTTTCTTCTTGTTTAGACTCCTTTTTGTACTTGTCTCCATGTTGCCTTGTCGAGATTGTAGTGACTGTCTTTCTGTGTTTGCCTCCAGCACGAAAGTCTCTCAGCTTGTTTTATTTTCATTCCGCAGTCCCCCTGGCTACCAGATGCAAATTCCCTCCAGCCATAGTATCCAATTAGCAATATGCTGCCTTTCCTCCTCCACTCATCCTCCTCTGTCACTTCAGTGTTGTGCGATAGAAGGCTTTTCCTTTTTCCTACATATTCCTTTGATGAGAACAAATAGACCCACTAGTGTCTTAACCTTTTGTACACTATTATCTTTGTATTTCTGTTTGGCATGAGATGAATTTTCTATGCATTCTTCATTGATTTCCACCCCAGACTCAGATCCTTTAGGCCACGTTTTAATGTGGGATATATGCCTGAGTCTGCAAAGCTGCCAACGAGAAATAGGACATGTGTAAGAAAGACTCACAGGCATTTTGAACCAGAACACTGCCCACTGCTTTCAAAGCATCTTCTTCATCTGTAGTCCTCATCTGAAGTTTTATACATCTTTTCACATCTACCATACTTTGACTGCTTTTATTGTGCAAACTTGTTTATATCATAAGATTTAGCGTGTAACATTTAGGCTATATGGCAGTGTTACAGTTGATGAATTACTCCCACAGTGAAAGCAGCAGCAAACTCACATGGTACTATTTTAGCACGTCATGTTTTATATGCTGTGCACAGTAGGATCATGACTGTAAGTGAATTTGAGGCAGGCCCACAGGTCAGGTGTAAACAGCGAGGCATTTCCTGGTTCAGTTCCAAGAGACTTACATTCCAACTGACACCACATAGCAATGTATGTCACAGTCTGAGTTACATTTCTCCATTGAATACTCATTTTACAAAAAGTGTTTCTTGTGGAACACAGATGCTGAGAGGTGTGGAGGACATTTTTAGTGGGGTGCAATTTGCACATCATTGAAATCAATGCAGCAAGAAGTTAATTAAGTGTGAAAGATCAGAACCAGGTGCTCTTGCTACAGCTTCTGAGAGATACAGAAGGCTTCACCCATTTAACACGCTTGTTTTCTGCTTTTGTTTGAAGGGGAAACATGCGAGCCAAACCCGTGTGAAAATGGAGGTGCCTGCCTCACGGCCATAAGCAATGAGGCCTACACGTGTGAGTGTCGTCCAGGCTTCACAGGGCCCAACTGTGCTAGTAATATGGAGGTTGGTAAGTGACATGAGAACTACTACTGATTGTTACCATTGTTGTTGGTCTGCTACAGTGTTGGTTAGCTTTGCTGTGGCTATGATGTTGCCTACTTGATGTACTGAGAAGGGCAGAAGTAACTGCAAGAGGTCTTTGGTGACTGTCACACTTGAGTGATGCTATTTCTAAGGTGTTTGCTGTCTATTTATGGATACATCATATTTGAACAGACATTAGCGAAGGAAGAGAAACCATACTTAACCATGAAACCTCAACCATTTGTATGGAGCTTTTCGAAACCCAGTATTTACATCTAACACACATTGATCTCTCAAAAAAACATTGTAAAAGTCTCAAAATACGTGAATGACAATAACAAAATAAACAAATAATTATTTTTATTTTGGCTATATTTTATATTTTGTGTGAACAGGGTTGAGAGGGTTGCATTGTGTTGCTGATTACTGATTGCCTGTTAAAATATGCAATCTGCAACCTAATCCTTAGGATTATAATAATAAATTTATAAAATCTGATCACTTTCCATTGATTTTTTTTCTTTTTCCCTTAATTTTGATGACAAAAATGGCAGACTGTTTCCATGTGATGAAGATATCCTTTGCTTCTCACAAAACAAATGTCAAAGTGTCATTGGTAAACCAAAAGCAGTGTGAAGAGCGCTGGCCACTAGGAGGCCAATAGAAAGAGGTTCACTTGTTTTTGCATTATACAACACCATTACATGAATTCTATTACTACTCAAGTGTGTGTGTGAATAAACAGGCTTTACTAAACCATATAAGGCATTGTGAACAGGACACCCTGTAGTACACAGTGTATTGTTCTTCTGGTGTTAGCTAACACTGTTAGCATTTTTTGTGCTCCATTGGTGGGCAAACCCCACAGCTTTTGTCTCTCCACACTGCTAATTATTCTTCTAAACACAAGCCGTGCACTTCACAGTCCTGCTAGTATATGGTTCTCCTTTTTCCAGTCCCCATGTGGTGATTAGTAATATCCTTTTACTTCCTTTTCCCTCTTACTCATTCTCTCCAACACATTCCCTACCACTTATGCCTCCTCTCCCTCCAGTCTAGCACTCTTTAAATGACTGCTTTCCTGCCATCTACCAGGTGAATGTTTTATTTACTTCACACACAGCTCAAAAAGTCATGAAAAATGAAGCATGTGAGGTTGCTCTCTCGCCTGGACCACATGTTCAAAGAAAGCCACAACTGTGATTCTCCAAACCAGTGAGCAGCAAGACACACTGAATGGAATTTGCATGTTAACACTGCATTTTTCTGTCTTTTTCACTCTTAATGGAACACAGAGTGTGGGCCGGGCACTGCTCTTCTTCCTCCACACAGACTATTTCAGCAGGGAATATTTATGGTTATTACCAAAGATATTTGCAAACAAGGCAATACTGAATTTGAGTAGAGAAGAAGTATTATAAATATGAGCTGTGGGCGTATTATTGCATGAAAGTGCATAAATGTTAAGTGGCAAAAAGTTTATTTTCTAAAGCTATATTTATGCACAATAGGGCTAGAAAGTTTCATATCCCAGCACTCCTGAAGTAACTTGATACGCATTGTAATAAGAGAAGAAAGACGTTAGAACAAGTGACAGTGTAATGATTGGGCCCAGCAGGTCTAGGTCCACACATTTTTATCTTTTTACCAAAACGCCACTCAGAGTGACTTACACTATAATAATCTTATAAATAAATAAGCCAAAACATGAAATGAGAGTGAATTTGCTAAAGATGTGACATATTCAGTGTTCTTTTTTTTGACACTGACCAATAAAAATCCCAGTTTCTCCAATAATCATCACTGTGAGGGGTTTGCTAAGCATGGCTCCCTCCTGAGTTCATGAGTATGAGTTCATCGAGTACTGCATTAGCACTCATATTGTCACTATTTTGGAGATAATTGAGGGGAGAAAAGTTAAGTGGATATAAGGACTGGAATGAACGGCTTGATTTATGCACAGGGCTGAAGTGGGACTTGTTTTCAGACTGTGAGTTACATGATGCACACCGGGCTAACCCAAAACTCCACACACATGCACACACACACACACACACACACACACAAAAGTGTAGGCATTACATCAGGCTGTAGGCTATTCCTAACAGCAGCGCTGTCATCACCCTACATATACACATTTCTATGGTGATACAAAATAGCAATCAATCAGAAAACTGGATTCACATAAACACAATGAACACTGCAGCACAATCACTATAAAGCATGCCTCCACTCAGCACAGACACAACTTCTGTGCAGAGAAGGTGTTAAAATCAGACATTTGAGATGTAGAAAGATGATGAAGAACAACAAACAGCAAACTTTAAAACTTAAACCTAATTGTCGCAAGTTAAAGCATATTCCCACGGTGTTTGTCTGTTTATGTCTTACCTGTACTGTTAAACGTTTGCTTTGACATTTTCACAAAGCCCATTATAGCTTTTGTAGTAAAGGGAGCATTGTACGTACCAAATTTACAGAAAACTGATGACAGCAATACTTTTTTTTACATTGTTTTTAGCTTTGGATAGGTAGAAAACAACATAATTTAAGATACGGGTATACCTCTAAACATCCCCATTTACATCTTTTAACCACAGCTGGAGCTTAAATTTAAAAACTGGCATGTGATAACAAATAAAGGCTTGAAACAAATGTAATAAACTCTGTAGAGCCCTGCCTGTTGTGTCAGCCAGCACCAGATTGGTACTGTGATCAGGTATTGTGGCCAGATTCACATAGTTACACTGAATTTGATTTGCTGATCTCTCAAGGCTGATGTTAGCTTTTTAATCAAATATCCGTTCCAACTTAAACAGTGAAGCAGTTTGTGCATCCAGGTGTGTGAATGTAACTGCTACATCATTTAAGGTGAAATGGGAAATGAGAATGAGAAGCTAACATCAGCTTCGTCTAATCTCTAGCCACTGTATGAGATTCACTTACTATTAGCTAAAGATGGTGGGCTGCTGGTTTAACCTCTAAATTACTACAGATATACACTCAAATGTAACATTCATAGTTTGTTTGAGTGTTTGTTTGATTATATGCATTAGTTTCTATATTAGCCTACAATTACCAGCCCAAAACCACCCTCCCAACTCTCTCGATTACGAGCACAAAAGTAGTTGTGCACACAATATAGGATTAGATAAATGCAGTAACTGCAGTTATTCAAATTTGAACATGGCACAATCATTAACCAGTTCATTAGCACGTATGTGCCAGAAATCACTAGCATATGAAAGTTGTGTTGGTCATCATTGCTCCTGGGTCTTAAGCCAGAGATATAATTATTACTATTTTTTTCCTATTATGAGATGGTACATGGTCTGGTCACGTGACAAACCAGTGCATTTTTTTCTGTTTGAGTTAAATATGCTTATATTAATCCTATTATATTAATCCTTCTGCCCAAGGCAGTGAAATTCAAATTCATCACACCCACAGATTTGTCGAGCCCACCTAAACCAGCAATCCTGGCACTGCTACCATTTGAGAACATTACAACGAACCATCTGATACAAAATCAGCAATCTTTCTGGCTTGACAATGATTTGACAAACTGCCTATTTTCTTACATCAGCTAACAGATGCCTGTGCTAGCTAGCATCACACTGAGTAATGGGAGGGAGAGCCATCCTACCCATCCAGAAAGATCAAGGCCAGTTATGCTTTCTTGGACTCCAGGGAGAAGCCTATAGCATCATCGGGGATGGAATTCATGATCTCCTGATGATAGGGCCAGTGCTTACACGGTTGAATGGCTAAAATCTGTTTAATTTCGAATGGGAGGTCCAAAAAAGTCTTGTAACAATTGTGACTGTTCTTGGTACATAAAACCACTCAAATGTCATGACTGGTTCTCAGAAAAGATAAAGTACAAGAGGACTGTAGTAAATGTTGTTTATTCTCCTGTAAAATTACTATTACAGGTGTTGATATGACAGTGATAGTATGCTGCAAATGCACTGGCTTTGTCCTGTGTTTTCTCTATCCTATACTGTCCTCGTGCTTCTGTCCATACAGAAACCTTTAAACTCGCTCACCCAGTCTGACTAGTTGCCATTCTCTAGACTGTAACGTCATTGTGGAAAATAGCTGTAGTTGAGTAGAGTGGTTTCTCTAGCTCCATTCTTTGTGTCTTACATATGGTGGATCAAACAAAATCAAAGTGTTTTTTTTTTTTCATTGCTCCTTTTACATCTTGCCTGTGGTTCCTCTGTAATGGATTTAAGCGGTTCCTGCAGACTTCTTATTCTTTATATTAAGGCCAAAGATTATGAGCAGTTCTGTAAACACAGCTGGCTTCTACAAGACATTTAATGCAAATAAAAGCCTTCTACAGGCCTACAGGGTTGATCTCAGGTGTTTGTGAGACAGCGTTTATAGTGTTGCTGTAAACATGCAATACAAGACATTTTCCTTAAAAAAAAGTCTTAAACGCTTCCTTTGGGCTGTTTTTCTGGACATGCTTTAATCCTGCTCATTAGCAAGTCTCTTTTAGCACTCATACCTCACTGCAAGTTGAACTTGCTACCTTAACCCCTTAAAAAGCTGGTGGGCCCAAAGTTTTATTACATACTTCTATAACCTAAGAATAGTTTAGCCAGTTTGCGTTGGACTTCCTGTAGTTACTGAGTAATAATCCTGGGGTTAATACCATGAGCCATGGTCCAAAGTAAGTAGTCTACAGCCTGAATTATTCATTACCTGATTTGACTCAGCCTTTTGCTTTGCTCTTAATAAAGCCATTCTCAGCACATGTATTTGAGCTCCTCATCCTCATTAATAAAGCTTTTGCACCTCTAAAGACTCTACTCACGGACAGCTGTAGCACACATCCTCTGTCCTGGCTCAGTTGGAAAGCATTAATTAATCAAAGCAGCAGGTTGATCCCTCTCCAATAATGAGACTGGCCATGGAACATCAACATATTGGGTTTTGGGAGCCTGCTAAATGTCACAGCTTGCAGTAATTGGA